CCGTGACATCCCGAGGCTCTCTGTCCTTTGGCAAAAATGGATCCCCTCCTGTGTGCTGTCTGTAGCTCAGGACATGTAGTAAAAGCAAGAAGACAAAGCACAGTCTGATGGAACGGACTTGTGTTGAAGGATGGGGCCGATGCTGCTGCAATGGTGGCACTTGGGAAGGGGGTGAAAAATCTCGAGATGAGTCAGCACATGGTGGCTGTGGTGTGCGGATTTCCTCGCTCATCCCAAATGGAGCCTTCCCCCTGAACTCCCATCTTCTGGACATTGCGCACGTTGGTGTGCGCTCTGCATGGGAGGGAGATTCAACAAGTAGCCCTGCTTCATCTGGTAGCAGTTCCAGACAACTTGCTTTTAAGGACATTTTTCACAATAGACATAGCCCACTGTGTCGTTTTGATCCATTCCCTGTGTACATCTCTCGACGTGTGGGAATGTAATATAGCCTGAGTGGCAAAACCAGCTCCCTTACTATTACAAGCCAGTTGTTCCCCATCTGAGATGTTTCTGTGGCTGGATGGATAGTATAATTCTCTTAATTGATTTCCAGAGTGGTGCAGGCATCTTTCATAGCCAGCGAGATTATCATCTTGTTGCTCTCCAGCTGCACTTATCAATGGTGCAATGAGATGCACATGTGGATGGAAGTTTACAGGGGAGGGCAGTTCAGACTAGTGTCTTCTAGCATTTAGAGTAGAATTCAGCTTTCCTGACTTGGGCATCTAAAGATAATAGGTTGTATTTAAACACCATCCCCCTAACAATAGGCACCCGAGATGCCTTAGTTGAGACTTCCAGAAGTGCCTATTTCTTTCAGGGCCTAAAGGAGGAACACTCAGGTGACTGGTTTCATTTCAGACACCTACATTTTGGGTGCCTAAGGGCAGATAAATTCCACTTCTGGTGGTAGGAATTGTAAATGATTTGGTAACATTGAAGATAATGCTAGAGCACCTCCTAAATGCTTGTATAACTTGCAGGATATTCTGCCTACAGGGAAAGTGTGAGGAAGGCTGAAGAGATGTGAGGGTGTGTATATAGGCTCAGGCATATATATGGTGCACATATAGTTGTAGAACTATAATTATGTTATTTAACAGAGCTGACCCAAACTTTGCAAATGTGAAGAACTCTTGAGATCAACATGGCTGATGGAACACCTCAGAGGGGTTGGGACCCGGGCAGTCAGCTGTGGGAAACCAAGAGAAGGGAGTGCAGAGGTGCTGACCAGAGCAGGGACAAATAATAGTAGACAGCTAGCCCATGTCTTCATTCATGTTGAAGTCCAGTGTGCTGGGTTGGGTTAATGGCAGTGCTGTCAGGGTGCTGAAAAGAACTGTGCTGTAGGGATTCGCAGAAGCTAGCTGCCTGAGGAGCGGAGTGTGCACTAGTATACAGCTAGGACCTGTTCATCCACCCCATCCATCCTGCTGTAGTTGTCTTTCTAGCTTGCAGAAGCCATCCCTACATGTCCCAGTTGCTTGTTTGCAGCATTCGTAATAGCTGAGGTATTGGTCATGGTGATGGGCAAGTTGTTGGGAGACTTTTCCAATTGGCTTGATCTGTGTGGTGGTCATTTGTATATGACTGCTGTGGTGAAGGGTTTCCACATCGTAAGCTGCCAGACAAGTGCCTCACATTGACAGGTTCGCTGACATTCATTGGTCAGACTCCCCAGAAGCACCTCAGACTGGCATTCAGGAGACACCTCTGGTGCCTTAGACCTTTCTAGAAGAAAAAAATCAAATATGACATCTTTATTTCCTTTCTCCCTGCATTATGGGATCACCATTCCCCTTTCATACCACTGCCCCCCTACTCTCATGTGGATGGCTGTCATTACTGCATATCTCCAGAATGCAGGGAACAGCATCCTTTGAGACCTAGACTACTGGTGCTCTGCAAATTTTTTGTAGGAAGCACCCACTAGCCCCATACACCCATTGAAGTCTTATGCACAGTTAAATTGCTCTTTCTTCTGTTCACAGTGCGTAAGCAAGAGATCATTAAGATAACAGAGCAGCTGATAGAAGCCATCAACAATGGAGACTTTGAGGCTTATACGTAAGTAAAGGTGTCTTCTGACAGGTTGATTATCAGTTTGTGTGCAAGTGATGTTGTGGCTGGGTATGAGGAATGGTCATGCAGTCAGAGACAGTAAAAAGTTTTATGCTTTTTAGCCTCCATCAGTTAGGAGTAGGGATATGGTAGAGCTCTCTAAATGAACATCAGGTAGAAGTCAGGCATCAAACAGTAACAGGACTGACAAAAGGAAAATGTCCTGGCTTTGTAAGAAAAGTAGGAGTGAGAGCAGTGAGATGAGCAGAAAGAGAATACAAGAAAAGCCAGAAACCCAGAGGCTTGTTTTCTGTGAAATGCCAACTAGCACCAACTCTGTGTTGTTGCAGTAGGACTGAGTCTTCCAGGAACTTACTCCTTGGAGTAGGGAAATAGTTAGGTGGACACAGAGTGTGAGACAAATGCCCTACTGGTGCTTCATTGTGTAAATAGCCCTGGGGCTCAAATGCAGACTGTAAGCCTGTGATGCTTTTCTTTGCAGAAAAATCTGTGATCCTGGCTTGACCTCCTTTGAACCTGAAGCACTGGGGAACTTGGTTGAAGGAATGGATTTCCATAAGTTTTACTTCGAGAACTGTGAGTGGGTAGATTTGGTAACACCAACAGCTTTCTCTCTAACATTCCTTTATAACATGTTTGGGGGGGGAAATTGCCCTTGTTTTTACTCATTGTCAGAACCAGCAAGAACTTGATTGTGCATGGGTTGTGATGCATTCATAAGAGCCACCATGCTTTCTCTCAAAAGCCTGTTTTAGCAACAATTTAAATTCTAACCCCCAGATTCTGTCACTGTGGGCATACAATTTGCTTGATGCAAATATTTTAAGCAGGGACTGCAGGAGCTTTAAAAGTTTGAGGCACTGTGTTTCCTACTGATATGAAAATGGAAAAAATGAGCATGCTTTGATGGAAACAACATGTATCTTTGGGGTAGACATACTGAATGGTCAGATTTATAGTTATGCACAATTAGTCACGCCTTTGCTTTGAGTTTTCCCTGGATGGTTTCAGATCTCTAACGCCTAATGAACCCATTACATGGATACAAGGGTCACCTTGTCAGCCCGGGGCAGGAAAAAGAGTTGGGAGAAATGCTATAATTTATAGTAGTAGATTTGCCTCTGTTCCTGGATGTCTCCAAAATGTAAATCCCGAGCTGTTAAATTGTTTTATTTTGGAGGTTAGGTCAAGGTCCTTATTATAGGCAATTCCTAGTACTCTAAGTAAGCAGAGACTTGGTCTCAAAAGCCTGTTCTGGAGTGATGTTTACACTGCTCTGAGGCTTGTTCATATTTAATGCAGGCCTAGCTTAAAGATCTGATTATTGACTCCTTTGCAACAATATTCTGTAATTAAAAGGTCTTTTCCTATAACTGAAGAAACAGCAGCAGTAATGTTGAAAAAGTAGCGAGTATGCTTTGCAGAAGAAGTGGGAGCAAAGGAGCCGGGGGATTCTAGGCAATAAGTGTGCAGTTCCTAGGGAGACAACAGGTTATAGGGGAAAGAATTGCTTGGATTTTGCCTGGAAAATTGCAGGAGCAATTTTTCTTGTATCCCAGAATCCAGTGGAAGGTGAGTAGAATACAAAAGAGGTTGGAGCATGCGGGGGGCTGTTCCTTCTTAATAGTAAAATGAAGCTGATGGTTTTGCATGTTCTGCCAGTACTGTCGAAGAACAGCAAGCCAATACACACCACCATCCTGAACCCCCACGTCCATGTCATTGGTGAAGATGCTGCCTGCATCGCGTACATCCGCCTGACACAGTACATCGATGGCCAAGGCCGGCCCCGCACCACGCAGTCTGAAGAGACCCGTGTCTGGCACCGCCGAGATGGCAAGTGGCTGAATGTCCACTACCACTGCTCTGGAGCTCCTGCAGCACCTCTCCAGTGAGGATCAAATACAGGTATGGACCAGCAGGGAAGGAGTGTATCATACACACAGCTAAGGCTGCTGTATGTGGGAATTCAGTATTCAAGGCTGTTTAGGTGGATGTGAGAGAACCATTTTTAGTTGCCTGTAGACTAAAACCTTCTGGTGATCAGTTGGTGTTCCGTCCCTTAAGCCCTGTCCTCTGGACTTGGTAGGATTATCTGCTGGTGCTGACAAACTGGAATCATGTGCCAGATGGTTGGTCCTGAGCACAGCTACCCGTGTAGCAGCAGTGCTTCCTCCCAGGTACTCAGCTCTGCGCTCAAAGTGCTAATCCAGAGCAGAGAGGAAGAGTATCTCGTGCTGTGCACAGGTTTGCTGTTTCCCAGCTGCCAAGGATCTACTTTTACACGCTGCAGGTGATTTCAGAGAACTTTTTTGATGAGAATTTCATATTCTAGAGAGGATATTGTAAAATCTATACAGAACAATTTCTATGCCATAAGGGGAAACATGTATTCATATAAATTTTACAACTGATTTTCTGATTAGCAGAAGCTAGTGTACAATGTTGAGAAAACTCAGAGGGGAAAAAAAATCTAAAAAAGTAATAATGTCAGAGGACTTAAAATATCCCCCAATTGGCTTGCCACAATTCAATGTTGGAGGAAACTTGATTATAAAATTTGACATAAAGAAACGATTGTTGCTTGCTCCCGAAGGACAGCAGATCCATTTACTTCTGCAGCACTTCGGCATTCTTGTTTATTGCCTTACTAGTTTCTTTTAGTTAGACGTACAAAGTCTTTCTGCCTTCTTGCATTTTATGCTGAAGTATATGTTGCAGTCATTTTAAACATCTAAGTTTCCTAATCTTAGGATCTTTTTACTAAAAAATTTCTGTTTAATAGCAAACACAAAAAACATCTACACCTAGGAAACAAGCTTTTTTTTTAATGCAGTCATTTGAAGATGAACCACTCAAGTAGAGTTACCACTTGAGTCTTAGTCTTGTGTACTACTTGGGACTAAGCCAAGAGCAGTTTTTATTCTTAAGTGTTGTGAGGGATTCAACTCTACTGAAGGCAATGGAAAGGAATGTGAACTATCACAAGCAAACTGCAGAGGTCACAGATGGAATTTGGAAAGGAAAAGCCAGTTGGGGGCACCAGAAGTAGGGAAGCTTTCAAGACAGCTGGACAATCGGCTGAATTTGTAGGGAGTAAGGCAGTGAGAAGAATAAAGCCTTTGCAGGGAAACAAAAAATAACTTGCTTGCATTAGTTTTTGTCACAGAGATGTTGAGGGAGACTTCTGTCCTGGATTTAGTCCAAAACAGATGCAGAAGAAATTATCAAATTAAGATCAGTATGGCTCAGTGGCTACGCCTAGGAAGCTTAGGAATGGAGAGTCTTAGCTGCTACAGAAAAGGTATGTTTCCTTTATTTGGCTGCTGAAATGTTGCACCTCCTCCAAAAGTATGTGCTGGAGGGTTTCTGAAAACTGCAGAGCAGAGCCATTTCCAAACCACAAAATGTTGGTTAAAACAGTATTTTAAAAAAAACTATAAACTAAACTGACATTGAAATATTTGCATGGATTTCTGGGTTATGAAGGAGACGTAACCACGTGCAATTACAAGTGGGGTCAGTGTGGGCAGCCCCCATCTGAACACACTGAATCGTTTTGGAGCAGCGTTGGCCCATGTGCAGCGGAGGGTAAGGATGAAGGAGGAATGAGGTGAATAAGAATGCTTAAATAGAAATCAGTGGTTTGTTCTCACCTGGAAGGCAGAGTTCAGTTTTGGGTAAGTCATCTTACAAGGAAACTGCAGCCATAAAAGAAGTTTGACGTTGATCAGAGGACTTCCTTGTAGGGAGAGAGCAGGAACCCAGAAGGGAGAAGATTTAATACAAGAGTTTGTGACAAAAACTTGCAAACTAAGAAATGGTAGAAGGAAGATTTTTGGCTACACTTTCATGGCAGGACAATGGTAAACAAACATGAAAAAAACCCAAACTGAAAACTGATGAAAATAAATCCAGTAATTTGACACAAGAAGATGAGCCAGTAGGAGCCTTTGCTAAAAGTGGTCACTAGGGCTATAACTTTACAAACTGCAGGAAAGATCATACATTTATCTAAATATTAAGAACATTCAGAGACAAAATTACTGAAGACTTAAAAAGAAAAAAAAAATCTTTCCGTTCAAGGCAAAAGTCAGTGGGAAGCGAGGCAGAAACTGTTTCTCAGGACTAGAGCCTTTGATCACCCTTTGGGAAACTTCTTCAGCTTCTGGGAGTCACTGTTAGATAGTGGGCCCAGGTCTGCTCCAATCAAGCAAGTAACTGATTTTTAGCAAGTAGTTCGTTTACATTGGCACACTCAGTCACCTGGAAGGGAAAGTGTGTGCCTCTTGTCTTCAGGGCTCTCCTCACCAGCCCCAGTCTGTGTTGTGTTAGGAAGGGTTTCTGCCTGCACCAAATAATTAGCCTGTAGAAAACGTGTCTTATTAACTGTGCATAGCTAATGTTTGGCTTTATTTCCTTTCATCTTCCATCCTGTTCTCACCTCTTCTTTCTGGGTGGACACTACCTCTTCCGGACTGCAGTAACTTGTGGAGATACTCAGCTGGAGGGCAATATCTTCTTAGCAAGCAGCTCTGGAGTGCCTGAGTGACAGCAACGGTCATGTCTGTTTTGACGTAAAAAAAAAAAAAATACAAATTACAAACAGGCAGCAGCCAAATGCACGAAACCCTGCATGCATCTGATGCTCCGGGCGCTGCCTTTCTGTTGTTTTCCATGGATCCATCGTGTCTGTTTCTGCTGTACGAAGGTGTTTTTAAATCTAAAAAAAAAAAAAAAAAAAAAAAAAAAAAAAAAAGACATGTTGTTTATATAAAATAATAAAAACCAGGAATAATGCTAAATAAATGACAGATTATCCAACATGCCCCTTCCCCCAGGGCTAAGAAAACGGCAGCAGCTGGAACATCTTTCAGAAATGAAGTGAGGGGGAAAGCAAAAGTGAAGGAGAGAGAAAGAGAGAGGGAGAGCAAAAAAGGAGGCGGCTTGAGCAGCGGATGGCTGAACTGTGCTCCGCAAAGCCATGGTGGAAGTTAACATCGCATTCAGGCTGTGCTGTGACTTCAGTCGGTGAGAGGTGGCGAGGAGACCCCAGAGGAGCCAGTGTGAAGACTGGGGTTCAAGAGAGAGGAGACGTTTCTCTTCCTATTGCCTGGCAGACTGAATTTAGCCTGTTTCTTCTTCAATTTCTGCACAGCAAGAACGCTATGGAAAGCTGGTTGCTCGGCTGCTGGATCCCAAAACAGACTTTTTTTTTTTTTTTTAAGAAAAAAAAACAAAATGGGATGTTGATTTAAAACTAAAGGTGGAAGTAGGGATTAAAAAGATGGGTTTAAGTGAATATAACTTAAATAGAAGCTAGCTCTTCAGAGATACTGATTTTAGAAACAGCCACTACCTGGTCGAACATGGAGGTTTGAAGCCAGCTTATTTAATTTAACAAAACAAAATAAAACAAGCATTGCATTAAGAGCAGAGATTTTAGAGGAAGAGAGTACATGTATGGGATTTTCTATTTTTTTTTCCTTTCTAGTAGCATAGTTGGGATCCACAGTGCTGCAGAACACGTGTTCCTTAGGAAGCAGACAAAAAACTTAGTGTTATGTTCTTCATGAAAACTTGCACATACACTCCTATATGAGGCATAAATAGCGTGTGTTTTTTATACGGAAATATATGCACCCATAGAATTAAAGGGGTTACCTGGTCTCCTGTTTGATTTGTTTGGTCTCCGAGTAAAATAGCTGTGGGAGCCAGCAGCCCCAGCCAGGTGCTTCTCCCCACCACTAACCCATCTGATGTTTGTAAGTGTCATGTTTCCTAGTGTTTATTTGGGTAATTTTTCTATTTTTTACAGTGATGTTGTAACACAGAAAACTATCAGATCAGAACCTCAAAAAACGTAGCCGAAGGACTCCAGGCCACCTCCCTGTGTTGCCTCTGGGTGTTAGAGGATACCTCATGAAGCAGAGGGGAAAGGGAATTAGCACATGTGATCTGATGTTTGTCCTTTGGGCCAATTCATCTTCTTTTCTTTTCTTTGCTGCAAAAGGAGTCCATTTCCTTTATTCATTGGGTGGGGAAATGTGGAAGTGTTTTGTTGACCTTACCAAGGAGGGAGCCTAGCCCCAAGAAGAAAATGGCCTCTCTAGTGGACCTGATAGGGTTTGCCTTGACCAAGGGAAGGCAATCACTCACAGAAGTTGGGATGGCCTTTTACCTGAATTTCTGTCTACCCCTAATCATTTTTCGGATCTTTTGAGGAAGCTAAAGTGATTGCACTGACAGCATACCAAGCATGAGGCAACATTTTTACAGACTACGGAAGAGAAGAAAGCCAATTTGGAATTTTAATCCTTATTTAACAGAATGCAGAAAATAAAAGCTGTTGCACAAAGTGGACCTGTCTCTTCGCAACAGACAGCTCTCTGTGCCCTTTGTTAGAGACCTGCTATCCCACACCAGGATTGTATCAGCTAACCCCTGATGAAGGAAGAGACCATCCACACTTCCCAGGTTTGTCTGAGCAAACACCCTTTTCATCCTCCCTCCACCAGCCTGGGGAAGAGTGTGGGGATTGAACCCATGCGGGGGCAAACACTAGATTTTATTATTTTTAAACATTTTTAAGACAGTACTAAGCCAGTGAGTGAAGTGGAAAAGTGAAAAGCCTTGATATTTTATTCAGATTTTTTTTAAAGCCACAAAGAGAGAGCAAACAGGAGATTACAATTATGCCATTTAAAAAAGATAAATACAAAACATTATGCATGCCTTCTTTAGGTCTGATCTTCCTTGTCTCTTTACCTGATGATTATTAATAATTAAAAAGAAAACCCTCTGTATTAAGTATCTGCATCTTTCAGAGAAAATTTTAAAAGAACAGAATTGTTGGGTTTTTTGGTTTTGCACAGTCTTGGAGACAAACTCTCTTGGGTTTTTTGTTTGTTTTGTTTCCTTTTAAGTTAATGAGAACTGTAGCTTCGTATGGCCATTATCAAACACAGCTGTACACCTTTAGCATTCTTAATGTTCTCTTATGGGGCTAATATAAGCATCTATATAATATATATTATAAATATCACATTTTAAACAGGAAATGGAAGGCATTTGATGCAGAATTTTTGCATGATATAGAAATAATTAAAGTTAGCTAGTGTTTGTTTGTTTGGTCTGAATGTTGGTAGAACCTTCATAGCTTTGTTACAATGAAACCTTGAACTGAAGATATTTAATAAAATAACATTTAAACGGTGCAAAGTTTGAGTGTCATGTTTTTCTCTTAAACCATGGGACAGCATGGACTCGGCCCTTCTCGGGTAGGAATCAATCTGCAAGGCTTTTTTATGTGTGTCAGTAAATCATGTGATTTAAAAATGTCATGTTTAAAAAGGTAAGTGGCACCATAACTAAAATGAAAAAATACCAGCGTTAATAAAAGAGACAAGAGAACCTGTTAAAATGAACTTTGTGGCATTTCCCTGACAGACCATGGGATAATGGGGAAATGTTGCTCCCGTTTCCGACAGCCCAACCCTCGGCAAGCCTGTGCTGTTACTTCCTTCCTTGGTCTCGGTTTTCCTCAGCCGTATTTCACACTCTGTGGGAGAAGCCTCTTGCCATTAGGTTTGCCTGATGTAAACGTGCTGAACTGAGGCCGGGTGGCAGCTCTTAGGTTGTGAGCTAGCACGTTTTGGGTCCTGGGTGGGATCCACCTGTGGGGGCACAGATGGACCCCTCGCCTGCGCAGCTTTGCCCAGCCTAGCGCGGTTCCCGAACAGAAGTTGGAAGTTAGTTGGATTTAGCCCGTTTTGTTTCGGTACTGCCTCTTGCTGTTAGCATTTCACTTACGCTCCGCTGGGGAGGCTTTGTTCCACTCAGGCCTTCACTGCTTTGGCGTTTTAGCGTGCGTTTCCCACCGCGCGCTGCTCAGGCCGCGCTCCCAAGGGCGGGCGCGGCCGGGCGTGCGCTGCGTCTGGCGCAGTTACGGCTGGGATTGCACGTCTCCCTCTGGCACCGGCTGCCGCT